AGTGCGGAGGAACCTGATCGACCTTTGAGCGGGTCGTCGAGCAGAGGGGGCCAGGCCTGTAGCATCGGCGGCTGGGGCCGGAGCGGGAGCAGGGGTTGGATCTTCGAGGAGGGCCCGAGTCCGTGGCAGGGGCGGAGTGCGGGGTGGACGAGGAGCTGGGTGGCCTGCCCTGCCCGCTGTGCTGACTTTCCAGGGGCAGGGTGGGGCGACCTATCAGATCCCCTTCGCCCCTCCACCGGCTGGGCATGAGTTCACTGACATTCCCGACCTTCCGCCGGTATGTATCACTGCACTTCGTACAGTTATTTCATTTCAGTTTACTTGATATTCCACAGAATACTAATGCATCTGATACCTTTGCAGGCTTCTTCTGAGTACACCCGTCAGTCGTTGGCGATGAATGCCTCGATGATGGGGATGCTCCAGCGGACATTTGACCTCCTAGCCGTCTACAGCATACCGGTATGTCCTTCTGACACTGGCCTCAAACCATTCATACACTGATTCATATAATCTGATGCACGGCACAACACCTGATACACTGATCTCACAGCATCTGACACACTGCATACACTGCATTCTGCACTGTACCCTACACTGATAAACTGCTCACGACATTCTCATACTGCACTTATACACTGTATTCTGCACTGTTAAACTGCTCACGGCATTCATACACTGTACTCTGCATTGCATTCTGCACTGATAAACTGTCTACAGTATACTGATGCATTTCCTTTTCATGTACTTCTCAGCCTCCTTTTCAGATTCCCATGGCGGGAGGTGCTCCAGCTAGACCTTCTGTCTCTACTCGGGGGGGAGATGAGGAGGGCCGGATATTTCCCCGTACCAGAGGAGGGCGTACTCACGTCGGGAGCAGCTCGCGAGCTCCAGTCCCGGATGATGACGACGACGAGGAGTCAGAGGCGGAGGCAGGGTCATCGGAGGAGGGGACCGGAGACGGTTCTAGCTCGGGCTCTGATGACGACGCTGATGATGTTCCTGGACCCTCGTCCAGGAAGAGGACCAGGACGGACTGACAGCCCTTGGAGTGCTCGACAGAGATGCAGATTTTTGCTATCTTTTTTCTTTCTTGTACTTTTCTTTTTGTTGGTAGTTGGATTACCTTGTACTGCCGCAGGCAGATTTTTGTTTCCAAAACTTGTACATTTGAAAAGATAATGAAATGGAACGGACTTTTATCTGAAAAAGTGTTTACATTGACACATTTCATGCATTGCATCGCATCTCATCATGTTACACCTCAATGTAAACGAAATTGATTGGTTATCTGAAAATTGAACACTTGCACTTGTAATAATCAGATAACTTAAACAGCCAACAGCAAAATAACCCAAGCAACCCACTGCCTGATTCTGGACACACAGCCCTTGCTTTACTGGGGATTAATCTGTACACAGCCCATAACACAACATTCGATTCAATCTGCACACGGCAATTCTCAAGCAAACAGCCCAGTCTAACAGGACAGACCTCAAAGATGGAACCGGTTGTAGTCGAAATGCGTTCAAATGTAGAGAATGGCACAGCATTCTGAGCATAAACGATTTTTGAAATCGAATGAGGGTTTTTCAAACCGGGATATCGAGCCTACCACTGAACATAGCGGGGAGGACTCAAATACAGGTACACGACCTAAACACGGCGAGACACGCTCAGGAAAGACTTAAAACAAAAGATGAGACCGCCAAATCAAAAGGACATGACACACAGACGCTTTAGCGAAGATGGGGGACCTCGGACCACGAGGAGCCAGTTCAATCTGGGTATTGTTTTCCACCCTTTCTGATTTGTGATCCTCACATCACTCGACTCTCAAGCTCGGATTTTTCTCTCAAAACCCTTTTTCTCGCTTTTCTCTCAACTCACACCTCTCTATTCTTCATTTTCTCATTTTTCATCCCTCCCCGGGGTGGTTGATGGATAAAAAAGAAAGGTGTGGATTCATGCTCAACATTGTTAGCTCACAGCTATTTCTTCTGGCGGGTAGAGCGCCCTTCTGGAAAGTACGTCGATGACGGGGGAAAGATAGAATGCCTGGCTCAACTGTGCCCCTAGTTCATCATTTTAACCATTCTTTGTTTTTGCTTTTTACTAAAACAGTTTTGATCAAAATGAGAGTTGGATTAACGTACTTGTTCGATTTTTGATTTGAAAAGCATGCAAGCCAGGCTGCAAGTACTGAAAATTTTCCTTTTTTGGATCCAAGACAACGGTCCAGTTTTGGAAAATGGAATAGTTTTCGAGAAAATAGTCAACCTCAGTAAAAATTTTCAAAAACTATTTTTCAAACAGCTGATGCTTTAACAAGCACAGAACTTACTCTTTGAGATGCGCAACCTCGGATCGGAGGCAATGGAAAATTGCCCCTGGTTTGAAGGGGGGGAGGCAACGGAAATTTGCCCCTGGTTTGAATGGCGTCTCACGACGGCTTGTGGCAACGGAAAGTTGCCCCTTGTTTGGAAGGCGGCTCACAGCGGCT